CAATTGTAACACGATGGTATGTATTCCTATATCTAAACATATCTAATCATAGAAAAGATACAGGAAAAATACGGTATAATCTTATGTGACTACCATTGTACATGTGGTCCATTGTTGACCAAACTGTTATGCAGCACTGAATATCAGTATCACATGGTATAGGCTTAGAATAAGCTCTCATGGAGCTGGACTGGAAGAAATACACAAGGTGGCACTAACATGGAGGAGGGAGGCATGCTATTGGGTGGGCACCTCTCAGTGCTATGGGTATCATGTTGACTTGGGGTACACATCTGCTTCCACAGGGTCTCCTCCATAAGAGTGTGATGAGAAGGAGACTGTTTTATATCTGGATTTTAGGAGTGATATTGAGGCCATAACCATATATGATTTTTCCTTATAGGCCCTTCACCAAATGGAACCCTTGGTGGCATGCCTTGTATAATATCCCAGGGACACTGTGGTAGTAAAGCAGATCCAGTCACAGTCTAGCCACTATTATCCATAGCATCTTCTCTTCCTCACCTATAGACTTCCCTTACCTTTCCTTTTATTCCTCCTTGATCTCTTTTTCTCCGTCCATTCATCTTCCACTGTCAGATTCTTTTTCTTCTCCTCTGCATCGATTTTAGTTTTTCAAGGACTAACAGCATTTTCTATAAGCATTTCTGCAAGGACTAAGAGCATTTTCTGTAAGCATGTCCTATCCCTGGCTGAGATCTAAAGAGACTGCCAATCTCTGGTCAATCATAACTTGGAGAAAATATTTTTAAATTTATTTTAACAGTAAATGTATTTATAAAAGTATTGAAATACAAAAGGATATAAGATTTAAAGTGCAAATCAACCCATATTTTCTACTCCATTCCCCAGAGATAACTATTACTTATAAAATCATATTGATTATCTTTTCATAATTGTTCTATGCATAAGCAAACTATAGTAAAACCATACTGTACCGATTGTTTTGTGATTTGCTTTATATTTTTACTATAACCATGTAACTTGAATAATTTTCTACATGCATCATTCTACTAAATGACATACCATTAACTTGAGGAAATGTTAAAAGGAAAAAATATAGTCCAAACAAATTTTGTAATTTGCCTTGGACCCTAACAAAGTGATGGCAACTGACTGTTTTTTATTTATAAAATGGAGAGAAGAGTGGATATTTCCTTCACCTTGTTATAGCTACTAATTTTGAAATAAAACATAAAGTGATAATAAATAAGATTATCTTGAGACTGATAAGAGATAACATATAGACAATTAATTCTTTGAATCCCAGTAAAACCTAGAAAGTCCTAAAATTGAATTAAATAAATTTTCTAAATTGTTCCAAGCAAAGAAATCACCAAATAAAAAGAACAAATGCTAGAAGAATATTTGTAAACATCCAAATTTCTGTATTCTGCCACTTAATCCACATTTAATTTTATAGAAATGTTTTATTTCTCTTTAAAAATTACCTCTAGAAAGTGACTTTTCTCTCAAATATATCTCTCATTAGTCAAAGTGCTATAGTGTATGTTGAAATCAACAGTTCTGTACTCAATAGTGTTTAATTCTTTGTGTTTATAGTTTTTTCAAAATTGACATTGACTATAAGTTGTGAAAGCAAAATACGGAATAAATGCATGAATTTTAAATGACAGAATTAATTAAAATTCTTTACTGTTATTGACATGTACAATTTTATAGAACCTTGGTTGAATAATATTTGCATATGATTTACATTTGATTTCCTCATACTCATTTTTGCATATAGTTTGTATGCATTTCAATATATAGTAATTTCACATATTTGGAGTAAGACTGATAGATGGAAGGGAGTCATTCAACTAAATTGTTGAAAGGGGTGGGCCCTGAGAGAGCTCAAATCTTGGTCCTCGGTGGCCTCATTGGGCAGTACCAAGAGCAAATCCATTGAAGGGCAAGTCCACCTTGATCAGATAAGCTGAGTCTTTCACTCTGGAAGAGACATGAAGTTCTGTTGGTCAGGTACTTTCCCTGAACACAGTCCCTGCCCCCCTAGAAAAGTCCCCCTCTCCAAACAAAAAGCTTGGAGAGATGGCCAAAACAACCATAGCTCCACATATACTTCTTCCTCAATTTTGACATCCACAAATATTTATAGACATTTTTTGACAAATAAAAATTGTGTATATTTGTCATATGCAACTTGATAGTTTGAAATATATATACATTGTGGAATGGATCAATTGAATTAATTAACATATGTATCACCTCACATACATAGCATTTTTTTGTGGTGAGAACAGTTAAAATGTACTTTCAAACACTTTTGAACTCTCTAGACTTTTAGCTTGTCCAATCTCTTGAGAGAAAGGAGTCCATCAATACAGAAAATCAGCAATGGGAGGCAAGAGGAGATTCTTTGAACTAACACAGGAATAAAGTACATCTCAATATTTATTTAGATAAAGGGTGTAAATCGTCACTGCTGGGAAGTATTTGCTGGGTGACCCATGTTAATGATCTTAATAAATTTAGTGTTGGCCTACAGTGGTGCTCAAATTGGCTCATCTCCAGACATGAATGAATGTACAGCTACTCTCTCTTTGCTTTCAGTGTTTCCCCAATTCTCTGATTTTTTTTTTAAGAGAAAGAGGACTAGCTTAACTATGGGTTGAAAGATTTTAGCTAGATGCCAAAATTCCATGCCACACGCTAGAGCCTGGCAAGTTACTGAAGATGTTTATAGCTGCTATTTAGGCCCAAAGAGTCAATTCTAGCCTCAGGGATCACAGGATTTTCTGGGATGGAATTAGTAAGATAATTATGGTTATTCCTAAACAGAGGGATAGGATAAAACATGCCTCCTAGAAAGATGCGTCTTGTGACGCATAGGGGATAAATAAGAAGATAATAAAAATTGAGAGAAGGGTAAACAAGGGGCAGAAATAACAGAGCTGGCGGCTGTTTGCGAAGGGTGAAATAGAATGAAGAGTCATGACTGACTTCTAGATTTCTGGTCTGAGTGCAGTGATGTCATTCACTGAGTTGGGAAAAAAACACAAGGAGGAGCAGGTTTTAGTGTTGTGTTAACTTCATAGTAGCTATAGGATAACCTACTGGATAATCTTACTAGGCAGCTATTTATGCATGGTATAGAGCTCAGGAAAAATACCTGGGAAAAATATTTAAAAAGTGGTGAAAGAATCTGCAGAAATGAAAGAAAGAAGGAATGTGCAGGTAAACTGAGGTAGGGCAAGGACTAAGACTGCCACCATTTTATAATCCTCAAAAGTCTTCACTTCTGAAATGTTTTTGTCCAAAAAGCTTACAGCTGTTTGAGGATCCAGTGAGTGTACTAAAGTAGAGATTGCAAAGGCAAATGATTTCACAGACCAAGAACCTACAAGAAAGATAAATAACTGGTTATAACAGGCACTAATTAAACTAGGGAAGGCATGTTCTGCCTAAGTCATTCGAGTTATTTTTTGTTTTTTGTTTTTAATTCTGTTGGTGCCCAAGCAAAATACATCATCTACGAAGAGGACTTACTCAGCAGGCAGCCAGCTTGTGCCTCCAGAGTAAACTTCTATAAACCAATTTCTTGCAAATCCTTCCCTGAACACAGATAGCCTGGACTGAAATCTCTTGGGGAGCACTGGCCTTAACGTCTACTCATATTTTCTTCCAGATCCAACACAGTGACCACAGACAAAGCTACCTACCTCCTTTCAGGGACAGCCTGAAGATCTGAAATACTCACCAGATGCCTAAAGAAGAGGTTAAAACATTTCTGCCAATTGGTAGTAGGGTGAGACACACCTCCCCCTTGATGCCCTGCAGACATAACAGCTTTCTGCCAGTACTTCCCATAATACTAATTCCAGGGCATCATAATTTAGATTTCAGCAATGAAAGAGTGTGTTTCCTTTCTCTGTTCCAACTCAACCACACAACAACCCATTAACGTTGTAGAGATTGGAAAATCCTGGTTTTCAGGATTTTCAGGAAAATCTGAGAGCAATCTCTTTTTGGAGGCTCTCCTCATTCCTGCCATCTTTTCTTTACATGCTTGGAGCATAGGGTCTTCTGGATCCAGAGCCAAGGACACAGTCAGGCTCTTTAAAGTATTCTTCAGTTTGAAAAGAAATGGGCCCTATACAAATGTGTGAATTTGGTGAAACTGCCTTTAACACCCTTACCAAATGTATCAATACCAGATAAGCCTTCATTATGATCTCCATTTAAACCCCCAGCACAGCCTAGAGCAGTTGCATATGACATAATCCCTCCTCTCCTTCGTATCACAGCTTTATGCATCATCTTCTCCAAAAAGCAGTTATCTGATAAAGGAGTTAGCTGATCATCCACCTGGCCACTTGGCTATCTCTGATCTCCCAATGTAGTTCTTTTCCAGTTGTAAATGTGACCCAGCTACTAACGGAGAGAATCACTGAAAAATACAACAGTGGTCCATAGACAATTTCCTTTCTCAAATTTGGTATTTTTACATCTTTGTCCTTAACTGAACTCTCAGCAAAGCCCATGAGAATATCAATTTTCATGTGTAAATACTCATGAAGTGCAAATTTGATATGCTCACACTACTGTAGGCTCTCAATAATGATTGAATTTAAACCATGAAATAAAATCCACTTGTAAAAAGCCAGGAAGTTGCCTTGTGGTTGGAAGGTAAGCTCTGACAGATCACAGAGCAGGGTGTTGAACTGTCCCTTCAAATGTTACTACAGGATAAAGAAATGCTTTTCTCCAACAGTGTGGAATTAACTGTAGCTGACCAGACCTTTTCATGATCCCTTCTATAAGAGAAGCTGAAAGCATTGTGGGTGGTCAATCCAGAGAATGTTTAATAATAACTCCTGCTGGTATAAGTCAATATTATGCCATTATTAACTTGTTGAAATCAGGCTTAAGTTAAAAACTGGTAAATAATTAACAAGTGCCATCATTTGTCTGACAATGTACTAGGATCGTGATAGCTGCAAAAGATGTATCAGACATTTTTCAGTCTATAAGCATTTATATTACTGTTTTCCATTTTAAAGTTGAAACAGGGATTCAGAGTCCATATTCTCTCTTCTTAGTTGTCCCAGCAGGACAGTCCTCACTTCCCCTGCTTATTATCCAGAAGTATTTGGAAGATTCTGCCTTTCAGACCAAATGCCCACACGTTCCCTGATCACAGTTGCTCCTGAATAGCTTCCAGGTGTACTGAATGAAGGCAGAACGCCTCAGTGGCCCCACAGGAGGCTTTCTTCTCTTGGGAAAGCCCCAAACTGCCACTTTGCTTACTCAGCCAACTTTGCCCTGGCAACTGCTGCCTCTCTTGTCTGAGGCCTGGATAGCAGCAGCAGCTGATCTTGGCCTGCCAGCTGGTATCTGAGCAACTGCTCTTGGCCCTCCTTCCAGTTCCCAGTCTCTTGCAGGTACACCTGCTGGGCAGGAGCACCTGGAGCACAGGTGTGCTCATGGGATGTGATGCCGGTAGTACCAGGAGCAGGCACAGCAGCCTCTTCCTCTCGGACAATGTGGCGGCTAACTTTCCTTCTGGACACTCCATTCATCAACTGGTGGGGGCACTGGTTCAGCCTGCCCAGCATGACCTTCATTCTCATATCTGGGGAGAAAAGAAATAGGGGAATAAATGGATTTAGTTTTCAACCAGTTAATTACACATTTTGCATAGTTAGCATTTCTGACAAGATACTGTCAAATCAAAGATTGAATTACATCAGCTCTTTGATTTCCAAATATCTTTTATTAGATACTCCAAATATGTAATAAAAATTTGGGAATACGTCTTCCTCAAAAAACACTTATATGATATCGATAACTGAATGAGGATTTTTCATTGTAAGGGCTAGGCTTCAACGCAAAAACCAGACCATGGTCAGGCCTTACCAGTGGGCCAACTCACACCTGTGTTAAGATATATGAACTATAAAAACCAGTCTTATCTAATACTTAGGCTTTTATGCCAAATTCATAATTTAAATATCTTTAGTTTTATAAAAACATGACTATAAATATTTGTAGAAATAATCACATAAACATCTATTTATATGAGTGTGTACATGTATGGTTGCATAACAGTAGAAGGAGAGATGGCACATTAGACTCAAGTCACAAAATTAGGCTCAAATTCCCCTTCTCCTGCTATCTGGCTTCATGACTTTCATCTTTTCAGCCTCTCTGGGCTTTAGTTGTATAATTTTAATTTATTCTCAGGTGCTGCTTCACAATTTACTAAAATATATTTATTTTAGCAATGTTGTTTTAGTTGATTTCCTCTCAACGTTTTATTTGTATTTTATTTTTCTATTAAACAGAACTAAACATCAACTCAGAAGAGTGCAATATACATAAACAGATATCTAGGCACCACACAATACTGTGTCAAGATAAAGACTGCAATGGAAAGTTAAGCATGTTCAGTGGGATACATGCATGGGAGTATATCATGCATGCAAAGGTCACTGTTCATATGCCTTACAGCGAAAAAAGGATGAACCTGTCCTAAACCCTGGGGGGTAGGTGGTAATACTGTCATCTACGTTTACTACATTTACCGTCCCTGCTTTTCTCACATCTCACCACCAAATACATTAACCACTCATTTGTATGCAATGAAGATGCCTAACTTATTAAGCTTTTTGTTATTTTTCTCCTGAGTTCGTTGAGAGCTATCTTGGTTTGTGTTAGGAGATAGTAATCCTGTCTGATTCATACTATAAGAGACAGTATTGGGGTAAAGAATAACAATTTCCCACTTCAATTTAATCTGGAAAATGAGGTAAGGATGAGAGAAAGTAATAACATTATATATATACACACACACACACACACACACATACACACACACACACACACACAGATATATATATATATATAATGCTTTTGATTTAGAGCAGTAAAATAAGATAATCATGTTGTTCCTATTATTTCCATGACACATCTATTAACATTATGATAAGCCCATGTTATTCATATTTTCTCTCTCCTGTTCCACAGTCTGTTTGTCTAGCATGTGTCTTCTACAGCCATCAAACTATGGGATGATTCTCTTGCTTTGAGCTATAAGAACTTTCAGGTTACCCTAGTTTTCCTATGGGACCTTCAGCTCCTCCCAGAAGTGTTTCTTGACAGCTCAAACTACATTGATTTATCCCTCAATACTTGTCTGGAGTTTCTCATTGGACCTGCACAGTTTCTTCTATTATTGGTCACCTTTTCCTTATGTGACAGTCTCATCTTCCTCTTAGGAATTTGAGTTCCTTCAAGGAAGAAATGTTTGTGTGCTGTCAACCTTGCTCCCTCATTATGCCCAGTCCTCTGCCAAGCACTGAGCTGGGCATCATCTCCATAATTAGTTTTCTCCCACCAGGTGGAAAAGACATAGTTTATGAGGATCAGAAATAACCAAAGAACAAGAATAATAAATTGTCAGGTAGAGGCAAACTTTAAAAGGGCAAGAAAGGCTTTGAATTTTAATCCCTTGGTAAAACCAACAGCACTTCATATAAGAGGAATCAAACACTGCAGGTCGCCTATTTTCAATCCATTGAAGATACTGTTATCTTGTTTTTGAGGACCTTCATTGGAAATCTTTTCCCCGTTGTTCTTTAAGTCCGCATCTATTCATGAAAGACTAACACAAGCATAGCTTTCCTTTGCAGACCCCAAAACATTTAAAAATCTACCATGAATTATTTACATGGCAGCTCCAATCAGCAACATACCTGACAGACTCCCCAGCTGAAATGAAAGTTCACTGTGCAAAGGTGCCCAGAGAGGCTGGCCGCCTCCCACTGTGAGGTTATAGACAGAACTAAGTCAGCACACATTATGTGTCAGTGCCGACATCAGAAGGAATCAAATCCTTTGATCTCGGACCTCCACAGGAAGCTTAGATCTCAGACAAATTAGATAAAAAATGAATTTATAGCAGATACGTGTCCTAAGGCATTCGGCTGAATGTTTGGGTTTTAGGGAAGGAAGGATAGTGAGTATCAAAATATATGAATTGGCATGCCTCCTTTCCACCTCTGCCTTGTTGATGAGTCCCCATTAAAATGAAAAGATGGGATTTTAAACTGTTCCTCGATGCCTCTTAGAATCCCACTGGTGGATTTGACCAAGTTTTAGGGAAAATGGGATACAATACGGGGAACATTTATCTCTTCTCTACAGAAAGGAAGACTCACTGGTTCTGGGTTCTTTCAGGTCCACCCACAGTCAGCTACAGCTTTTCCAGCTACCCTTAGCCTCTTCCAACTTCCAAAACTTTGTTGAGCAGCAAATATGCACTGTGCCTGTGACTTTAAAAATTTGTGTGGGTACTAGTCACTGGCTTCTTTTGCAATAAGAATATTAACAATGAATCTCCCCTCTCTCTCTCTACCTCTCCATACCCTGTGCATATTTTTTGAGCCTAGTTCCATGTGTAACATTCAGTGTTGGGTGATCTGGACTCAGTATAGAAAGCCTAATATATTGCCTGGACCTTTGATTCTAAACAGGATCTGAAGCGGATCTTGAACAACTGATCAATCAACAACAAGAATCAACCATCTTGGTTTCTCATTTGTCAATAAGGTACGGTAGTCCTGCCCACATGTTAGGGAAGTATATGCTATAATTAAATACTAACGCTTCTGTCTTGTCTAGAGAAGTTGTTCCTTTATGTGAAAAATATTATTTCTTTTCAATAAGCAATACATGACAAATGAAGAGGCATACAAATTAGAGAAAAATAAAAAGGAAAATGTCTGTAGTAGGACATTGTATCTTAAGTAATCTGCATTTTATTGATTTGTGATACTGTAGAAATGGATGTGTTTTAGTAAACCTAATTTAACTCATTAATCCATCTAGAACTTCCTTTGTTATATTTTATAAAACGTGAATCTAGACTGATAAATGTTCTAAATAGTCAAATTGACTAAACCTTTTATAAACTGTTTTCCTTTATATTTACTTTTATTTTCTCTTTTGTTATATATTTCATTTCTATATCTAATATCTTTATCTACTTACCTATATATGATATCTATATCTACCTAATTGGGGCTATTTCCACTAATGTGCCCATATATGCTTGTAACAGAATCACATTATCTTAAGAACGTGACATAAATATTAATTCCCTGATAGGGCTACTCATTTCCACTACCACAAAATCTATTTATTTTAGAAAATTGGCTTTGTATCATTAGCCTATATTTTCTGATGAACTTTGGAATCCATCTTATGCTATTCAACATTGCAAAGAATGATTGGAATTGCATTAATTCCATTTATTTGAGAATAACTGAGGTATTTGCAATAATAGTCAATCTAATTAGAAATATATTATATTTCTCTATGTATTCAAGTCTTCTCTTTATACTATTTAATAAAATATAGTTTATTTTTATATAGGTTCAACATAACACTGGTTAAGACATTTTTCAAGGCAGTATATCCTTTGGTCTCTATTGTACATTTCTTTACTTTTTTCTAACTATATACCATTGCCCTATACAATTTTTTGGACTGACATTATATTTGAGTGAGTTATTCAAAGTATTTATAAATCATGGTAGTTCATGGTCGAATCTTAAGTTATCCTTAAAAAGTATATCATCTGCAAACAACTTCCAACATTGTCCTCTTAATTTGTTTTATTTATTTTTTTTTTTTTGAGATGGAGTCTCTCTCTGTCAACCAGGTTGGAGTGCAGTGGCATCATCTTGGCTCACTGCACCCTCCACCTCCCGGGTTCAAGCACTTCTGCAGTCTCAGCCTCCTGAGTAACTGGGACTATAGGCGCATGCTGCCACATCCAGCAATTTTTTTTTCTTTTGGTATTTTTAATAGAGATGGGGTTTCACCATATTGACCAGGCTGGTATCAAACTCCTGACCTCAGGTGATCTGCCCACTTCGGCCTCCCAAAGTGCTGGGATTACAGGAATGGCCACCATGCCTGGTCATTTGGTTTTATATATGTTATGTTTCTTATGATTCCAAAATATATGTTATAAAATTATGGTAAGAATGACTTATGTGTTTTTCCTCGTTTGAATATGAATTCCTCTAATACTCCTTTGTTAATTATGATATTGGATCTTGATTGAAAATAGAAATGGAACTCTTCATTCTTTTTAAATTTTTTTTTTGAGACTAGGGTTTTATTACATTGCCCAGGTTAGAGTGCAGTGGATATTTTCATAGCTCCCTGCAGCCTCAAACTCTTAGGCTCATGCAATCATTCCACCTCAGCCTTCTGAATAGTTGCAAATACAGGTGCATACCACTATACCAGGCTCTTCATCTTATTCAGTGGGCATGCTGCTATTCCTGCTTATTTTTTAAAGTTTTCTTCTGGAACAACTACTATATTTTATCCATGTTTTAAAGTAGAAAATATTCATTTTTTAAATTATATGACATGGACATGTTATTTATTAATAATTTCCAAACATAGTTTTGCTTTCCTGAGAACCTGAGACAATTTCTAGTTCTCAGCTCCTTTGCTTTCAGATGAAGCTATCTCTGTCTTTCCCTATCCCTGTCATTCTTATACATTTGTATTAACAGAAGGTAAAGTGACAGCTATTTATATTTTATATTTACA